TTCCTCAGGCCAAAAGAATAACACTCATCTCTTCCCCAAAGCCAAATAACAAAACATCCGAACATCTCCGACAGTGCTTTTCAGAGTGTTCCCCACTCTGTGCCTGGGGACCCTTGTGGGGGCGAGGAGGGGCCTCGTCGGAAGTATCCCAGGCCCCACATTCTTGTTTCAACCAAAGGCTTCATCCTTATTTAAACCAAAGCAGCCTCTTTCTCCATTTGTCCTCCTGTTGTATTTACTGGTGTATTTTCAACAACGAGTTGTTGAGAGCCTGCTTAGTGGCTGACACTGGAAGAGGTGCCAGGGACACTGTCGTGAATAAGACAGATAGGCCACACTTCCCATTCTCAGAGTTTACAGCTTAGTAGCAGAAAGCATCCAACAGCCAGACCCACAGCTAACCCTTTAGCACAACTGTGATTAACTGCCACAGCAGAGAAGTCCACAGGGTATGGAAGTGTTACCGACAGGTCAGGCTTGGCTTACCCTCTCGCCTTAAACAAATGACCTGAAAGTCCAAAAGCTGATGCAAGGATTGGAAGTTTTATTCAGATTACCGGTACTCAACTAAATGTCTAAGCAAGCAAACAAACACAGAGAAAAGAGGAGCAGTGGGGTCAGTTTAGCCTAGTCCCAATCAGCGGGGCCAAACTATTCCATTANAAGAGGAGCAGTGGGGTCAGTTTAGCCTAGTCCCAATCAGCGGGGCCAAACTATTCCATTAGCAATAATTGATAAAAGCAGTTCTCCTCACTGTTTTCAGCATAAAGAAGAAAAATATTAACTAGATTTAAATCAGAAAAACAAAGCATAGCCAGGGGCCCTCCAGGGTGTACCTATACAGAAGTGGATACAATCCAACCAAACAGAAGAGGGCTCAGAAAATCAGAGAAAGGTAAAGAGAATAGAGCATTGCCTTGTCAGAATTTAATCCAGGGACTCCAGGAGAGATCTACTAGCAGCAGAGACATGGGAGCAAAACAGTCCCAGTGGCCACTTGCCTCTTGCAGCTAGAGTCCTCTCCGGTGCCCAAAGCTTTCCAATTTTTGCCAGTGATTAAATTAGGCTCTCGGATTCCAGAGTCATAGAAATGAACCAATGTACCCAACAGTAAAGCAAGCAACGCTTTATTAAGAGAGGAGATAGACTTATGAGAGTAAAGCTAGCCCCTCCAGGGGAGCTGTTTAGGGTCTTTTAAGTATAGGCCAGCCTCACCGGAGGTGGTCCGTTCTGTTCTTCCTGGTTGTGTCATGGGTGCATGCTCAGTAGGCAGTAGTGTTCATCATTGTCACCCCAGGAGGGTCATTGTAGCAGTCACCTTGATGCTTTGTGCACAGGTGGAAATTCCTAAAGGGGTCTTAAGGTTAGTCTGTAACTTTTACAATTATAGTAAACAAGCCTTGGGGAGGGGTTTTGCAACTCAGTAAATATCTTTTTCCTCTCTTATCTCAGTCTATTTTGTCAGGGCAGCCCGTGGGGTGGGGTAATCATTTGCCCTGAGGAGTCTCTTGACTGAGGAGTGGAAAAGTAACAAAGTGTCCTCTGCAGGGAAAATGGAGTCAGTTTGGTTCACAGGCCTGGGCTTACTCTGTTTCAGGAGAGCATGGCACAGGGGGTCCTGGGAAAGGCTCCCCCGACAACGATGGTTGAGCTGAGATTTGAAAGAGTAGGTAGGAGCTCACTCGGCAAGTGGGAGGGAGAAGAAGGGAGAGGCCATCCTTTATAAAATCTTTGAGGTGGGGAGGGACATGTGCCCACTGGAAAACCTCCAAGCATGAGGCAGGGAGGTCGTGTGAGACAGCTGGGGAGGTGGGTGACCACACCACCCAGAGCCTGCGGGGAGAAGGCATTTCACTCCTAGTTTAATGAGATGGCTTTGAAGAGCGTGCCCTGAGGACTGAGATGATCAGATTTGCTCTTTTAAAGGAGAACTTGGGCCACAGAGTAAAAAATGGGTTGGTGTGTGGCTGCAGTGTACAGAGGTTTCATGCAAATTAGATTTTGTTTCAATAAAGTTCTCTTGCTAGGAAGTTTGGAAACCACTGATCTACAGGATAAGATACAAACTTATGACATCCAAGGCTCTTTATAATTTCTCCCAAACAACCCCCTAACTTCGTTTGTTGCTACTTTGTGCCCTGTTCTCTGGGTTCCAGGCTTCTGAGGTTTATCCTCCCTGTCTGAACACCTCTTCCACTCTCCAAGGCCCTTGCCTGTGCTGTTTCCTCCCCCCAGAATCACCCCTAACCAGCCTTTGCTAGCATCTGTAATAACTAATCTGAATTCTCTTCCTTCTACTGTGAATAGGAGAACAAGGGAAAAGCCTATGATTTAAAGGCATGATTATGCTTAGAAAAGTAATGGCTCCCAAAGTTCTGAAATATATGATTGTAAAAATTTGGGGGGGGCAGAGATGGAAAATATGTACTTCTTATAAGATATCTCAGCTGTCTTCAATGTTTTATAAAGCCTAAGGCATCCCACTCCTTTTTAATAATTGTCCTTTCTGAGCTC